GCTAACCTAACTCTAAGAAAATATTATCTATATAAATAAGTTTCTGCTACCAGAAAATTGTAACATAAACACAGATTTTACATTTTAACACGATACGAAATAAGAAATCATTGGCTCTTTATTTGTTTATTTTAGAGATTTGCAATTTTACAAAACTGCATGAAAGGTCCAAGTTAAAATCATGTATTTATGATTATGCGGTGTACCGCGGGTCAATCCCTAAACTTTAAAAATGATTCATATAGTATAATATTTATACATGTATATATGTCACATATTGTTCTAAAATTAACAATCCAACTAAAATCATACAATTTAAATAATTTTGAACATATTCGAAACCAACACAAAAATACAATCTAAAAATGATAGAATTTAATTAATAAACAAAATAAAGTAAAGCAAACACAAATAAATTATCCCGCAATGTACAAAGGATTAAAAACCCGGTAATTTTCCCCCGCGCTGTAGCGCGGGTCCGAATCTAGTCCACTTACAAAGACAAAGCACTCTTGCACATTAAGCTACATTTGATTAAGCAACTTATAGAAAAAGGCCTAATAAATCACACTTTTATTCAAAATATCATCATCACAAGATCAAAATTTTGTTTGGACCACCACTATATAATACATAAAAAGTAATATTGAGTTAAGAGAATCAGATCCCAAGAAAAATAAGTAACAATATATCAAAGATATGTAGATGCTAAGATATCATCATTACATAACATGTGAATTTTCTCAAAATGCAATATGTATGTAATCATAGGAAATAAAGAAAGTGATTTAAAAGTTAGTGGGAAAATATTGACCATTGTTACTTTTCCGGTGGCCACCCATCACCGTCACGCCATCACCATTGCCATTTTTTTTAGTTGTCATAGTTAACAAGAATTAAGAGAATTTTTGAGAAATACACCTTTTGGTGTATCCCTTTTTAAAAATACCCCTTTTATCTATTTATTTTTAAAAATACCCCTTTTTAAATATAAAAAATTATAAAGTTTTATATAGTTTATAAGGTATTTCTATATAATAACTACTACTGTGAGATTTGATACAAATATTTAAAAATGTTTTAAATAGTTTTAAATCGTTTTTATAAGTTTTATAAGGTTTTTAAAAGGTTTTAAAAGGGTTTATACGGTTTTTATAAGGTTTTTATAAGGTTTTTATAATTTATTTTTACGCTATTTATGAAAGGTATATAAAATTTTATACACATATAAAGGTAATTTGTGTATATATTTATAAGCTTACACACATATTTGGATAAATTTCAACATTTTTAGTGGGTTTTTTGATAAAGTTTGAAAAAGGGGTATTTTTAAAAAGAGGTCTATGAAAAGGGGTATTTTTGAAATTCCCCCAAGAATTAATACGATTTCTAGCAGTAACGATGTATCACGACTTGTTTAGTTGTTATAGTAAAAAAAAAGTTCATACGATTCCTAGATTCGTCATGACTTGTGACGGCATTCAAATAGTTATGAAAATGACACAAAAATAATAATTATCCTTATCATGTTTTGAAATATTTCTACCACATTTAGTAATTATCTATAGTTAGGTGAATTTGTAGATTTAATTGATTCGCTAATTTTTAAAAATCTTGAAATCGGAGAATTATACAGTTGATTTCGGAAAATATAAATAATCGTACGAGGTAAAAATCATATGCCAATATACTTTATATATATATATATATATTTAAAAATATTATTACGGTAACATATATTAGATTTTGAAAATTCTAAATATGGATTTTGACTCTTGTTGTGTAAGTTTAATTTTGATATATTATTTATCAATAATTTACAAAACTTAAGAGTACCGAAAACATGTTATATTGAACAAATATAAAATTTGTAATTCACTTCAAACTGAAACCACCTTAACAATATTCAGTCAATAATCAAAATTTTCCTACTTTAAGGGGGGTGTATTCAAAGTGAAATTTCAAGTGATTTGTAAAAAGTTTACAAATCTACTGTTATTCAAACATGAATTTTAAAAAGTCTCATGAAATCCACTGTTATTCAACTAATGATTTCAAAATCCACCTTAAAATCCATTGTTATTGAAAACAATTTGTGGATTTGGCTTTTAATGATTTTGAAGGATTTCAGAAGATTTGAGAGGATTTCTTTAGTTGAAAATACAAAAATCCAAATCTCATGGTTTTTGGTGAGATTTGAAAGAATTTTACAAAAGTCATATGAACTTCCCTAAAATCATCAAAATCATTTTAAAACCCAATAAAACTCAAATCTCTTAAAATTCCATTTTGAATACACCCCTCTAAATTCTTTAACTACAGAGACAAGACACGGGACCATTTATTTTTTGAATGTGATTTCGCCGCCCGTATTCGGAGGTTCTTCACCTCAGCAGCTTCCTTATACCCTCCTCATGACTTTATGTCCTCTCTTGGGAATATCTCTTGTATCCTCAAGCTCCTCTTCCAAGCTTCCATTTATTCCATCTGGAAAGAAAAAAATCTTCGAATTTACTCTAGTTCAACCTCCGCTAGACGCCCAACTCAAATTATAAAAGAGATTCAGACTGTTGTCAGAGCGCGTTTAGGTCCTTTGGCGAGGGCGCAAAATTCAGCTCGACCAGGTACCTCTCTTCTGGCCACTTGGTTCACCTTCTTTCAGCCTCGCTAGCTCGCAGTTGGTTCTTTTCCTTCGTTTAGGGCCAGGTTTGGCCGCTGTTGGGCCAGTGTTCCTTCCTTTATACTATTTTTTTTTTCTGTTTAGCCTGCATGCCTTTTCAGGAAGTTGGAATCCTTATATATATTTGGGCCTGCGTGCCATTTTAGGCTGCGTGTCCTGTTGGGCTTCGGCCGTGTATGTTTTTTGGACCTGCGTGCCACTAGGGTTCGGCCTTGTAATGTGTTTGCTTCTAATGAAAATATATATATATATATATATATATATATATATATATGTATACATATATATATATATATTACTAGCAAGAACTCGGTTTCAATAACTTATTTTATAATATCTAGTATTAATTCCGCTAAAAAATACACCAAATATTTTTTTCCACAAATTTAACACACACCCAGAAAAAAAAGAGAGAAAAAATGTTATTAAAATCCCGAACTTCCAATTTTTGGCCATTTTAATCTTCAACTTCCACTGTGGCCATTAAAATCATAGATTTCTCGTTGACGTTATTTTTAAATCACCATCTTCTGTTGACTGAGCCAGATTGAGCATGTCGTCAAATCAAAACCTCTAACATAGGAGTTATTAGCCGTTTAGGATCGTTAATCGATCTCTGTTAAGTCAAAAAATGAGAATTACGAGGCAAACGACATCGATTTGAGATAGAGGCATTTTCGTTGAAGGCAGAATGACGTCGCTTGTCTTTGTGATTCTCATTTTTCGACTTAACATCGATCGATTAACGATCCTAAACGGCTGTTAACTCCTCTGTTAGAAGATTTGATTTGACGACATGCTCAATCTGTCTCAGTCAACAGAAGATGGTGATTTAAAAATAACGTCAATGAGAAGTCTATGATTTTAATGACCACAGTAAAAATCGAGGATTACAATGGCCAAAAATTGGAAGTTCGGCATTTAAATAACATTTTCCCCAAAAAAAAATACACGAATTATCTATTGTTTTTATTCATTGTAATACACAAACTATATCATTCAACGAAATGAGTTTTAAAACAAAAAAATCCCTACTGTATTTGGGCTTTATAAAAATTTGGGCCCGAATCACACCGTCTCCAATATTGACAAAGTTATCAAACTAAATTAACTAACTCGATGACCTGACCCGACCAACCCAACCCAACATAACCCGACCCGACTCGAAACTGACTTAACTGCCCTCTTGTCGTGTCGCTCTGCAAAAATCTTTTTTTTTTTCTTTTTTCTTTTTTATTCTCTCATAACATCCTTGGGAATACCAAACGACATACAAAAGTCGTCGTTTCGTCTTCTCCAATCCTCAGATCCTTAAATTCTTCTCTTCCTCTCCAATCATAAACTCTGTCTTCACAAGAACACATCTCTTCATCTCCTTCTTCAGTCTCCAATTCATCCGTAAGTTTTTTAACTTTAACTTTTTCTTCCTTCTTCTTTTTTTTTTTAATTTGCGAATTTTTGTTACTTTTGACTAAATCAATTTCGAAATCTAGATCAATTATGATTACAAAAGACTCAGATTACAAAGATCATAAATAAATTTGTTACACTTTCTTGTTTTACAGCTTTAATATTGAAGTAAACTTAGTTATGCGAATTCTGGTTTTAATATGAGAGCTATTGAAAGATCTGATGAAGAGGAACTTGTGATTAAGAAGAAAGCTAGAATGGTTAGTAGTAATGTAGAGAACAGTTACGAGGTTCCTATGTTGTTGCAAAACGAAACAGTGGTTGAAGAGAATAAAGAGACTAATGTGGTAATGGGCGATGATGAAAGCTGCAAGAATGGGGAAGAAACCGAATGTACTAAGAGAAAGATCGATGAAGTTTCGGTTTTGAGCTTGGTAGATCTAATAGGTGTTGTGGAGAATGGTGAAAATGTTGGAAAGGTTAAAGCTTTAGAGGTGGGAAAGAGTGAAGAGGTTCCAATGTTGTCAGGAAATGAAGTGAATGTTGTTCAAGTTCCTTTGGTAGGAGATATTGAAGAGGAGGAAGAGACTTGTGTTGCATCAGGCGGAGAAACCGAATCTAATGAGAGAAAGATTGAGGAAGGTTCGGTTTTGAGCGTGGGAGATCGAATAGGTGTTGTGGAGAATGGTGAAAACATTGAAAAGGTTAAAGCTTTAGAGGTGGAAAAGAGTTATGTAGTTCCAATGTTGTCAGGAAACGAAGTGAATGTTGTTCAAGTTCCTTTGGTAGGAGATATTGAAGAGGAGAAAGAGACTTGTGTTGCATCAGGCGGAGAAACCGAATCTAATGAGAGAAAGATTGAGGAAGGTTCGGTTTTGAGCGTGGGAGATCGAATAGGTGTTGTGGAGAATGGTGAAAACGTTGGAAAGGTTACAGCTTTAGAGGTGGGAAAGAGTGGTGAAGTTCCCGGGGTTGAGAAAGTTTCGGTTTTTAGCTTAGCAGGTCGAAAACATGATGTCGAAAATGGTGGAAACATTGGAAATGTTCCAGTTTTAGAGGTGGAAAAGAGTGATGAAGCTTCTCTTGTGGCGGCTATTGCGAGAAGTAGTGAAGTTCCCGGGGGAGAAAACAGAGGTTTTTGTGTTGATTCGGGTGGAATCAGAGAAGTGACCGGATCATATTCGATGGTTTTGAGGAAAAAGTTACTTGTTCTTGATCTTAATGGGTTGCTTGCAGATGTAGTGAATCCTCTCAAAGATGTTAAAGCTGACATTAATATTGGAAGAAGGGCAAGTGAGTTTTTCAAGATTCTTTTGTGAGTCCACATTACTATGTACTTGATAGTAAACTTATATTGTTTTTGTTTATGTTCAGTTTTTAAGAGACCTTTTTGTGAAGAGTTTCTCAAGTTCTGTTTTGACAAGTTTGAAGTTGGTATATGGTCATCAAGAAAACAGTAAGGCCTTACTCATATTCGTCATTGACACTATCCGTGTGTGTAATCGATATAACGCTTATTTTACTTGTACTGCAGGAACAATGTTGTAAGAATTACTGAATACTTGCTTGGTGATATGATGAAGAAACTGTTGTTTTGTTGGGTAAGGTGGTTCTTAACATAGTTTTCCTCTGTTTTCGGAACGAGTGTTCTAATTTTTATTCGTTTTGTGGTTCGATATATCTTTTTGCAGGACATGTCTTACTGTGCTACGACGACTATTGGTTCTCTTGAAAATAAGCACAAGTTTGTGGTGTTCAAAGATCTAAACCGGCTTTGGGAGAAACACGATCCAAATTTACCGTGGAGAATGGGTGATTACAACGAAACCAACACTGTTTTGCTTGATGATTCTCCTTACAAAGCGTTGCTTAACCCAGTAAGCTTCTTACACAACAATTCTAGTGTCTTATCGATGGTTTTAAAGCTTCTTGACTGAACTATTTGAATGTTACAGCCATATACAGCGATATTCCCTCATTCATACAATCATCAGAACAAGACAGACACATCCTTAGGTATTTAGCACGAATCAGTACTTCTGTTTGGTCTGTGTATTTATTTACTGACTTTGAATGGTTTAAATGGAATTTAAGGTACTAATGGTGACCTGAGACTTCATCTTCAGAGGTTGGTAGATGCTGAAAACGTTCAAGAGTTCATCAAGAACAACCCTTTTGGTCAAGAAGCTATTACAGAAGCAAGTGAATCTTGGGATTTTTACAGAGAGGCCATTCGTATGTTACATGTACCTGCTCAAATACACAGATTTAGAAACTTAATACGGTAGAAAAAAAGATGATTTTTGTTGGGTTTCGGGGATTAATTAAAAACGGCGTGATGTTTTAATGTTGTTGTTAAAGATGGCTTGGTGTTTCATTTTAGAAGTTTGAAACCACAGGTAGTTTTTTTTTGTTTAAAGTGAAACCACAGGTAGTTTGTTTCTCGTTTCCTTTCTTGTGAGTAGTGTGCTTACTCTGATATGGTTTAGTAATGTTTAGTTTGATATTTAGAGTTATTTTCATGTCTCATTCAGGATTCTGGTATGCGTTAATATGTGTCTTTTCATCACAACTCTGATTTCGAACTAGAGGCGTTCGTATATGGCATAGGTTATGCCTTAAACTTAATCCAAATGTATATGTTCAGAGTTGTAGCCACAGTTGAACATATACATTAAACTATGGATTAAGTTAAACATATGTACAATACAACTCTGAACAATCAACAAACTACATATATTTGGTCATATATGCATTCTATATTCATGTTTGGTCATATATGCTTTAATATAAGGAAAATTGCACTCTATGTACTCCAATATATAAAAAATTAAGTATTTGACTTTAATGTTTTTAAAATTAGTTATCTCTCATAGTTACTTTAGCTGGACAAAATTACCCCTATATATGGTACACTACAAAAAAAGAGTGATCTTGCAACACCGAAAATTGTTACAATAATTCAAAATACCGTTGCAAATCATCAGGTTGCAACAAAATTGAGACACATTTTGTATTGTTGCTATTTGAGTGTTGCAAACTCACATTTGTTGCATATATGTCACAAAATTTACAATGAATTGACTTCTTGCTATTATGTCGTATTATCGCAACAAAACTATTGTAGTAACTTTGTTGTAAAATTGTGACATATATTTGCAACTTTAAATTGTTACAACTTATTGCGACATAAAACGTATAGCAAATATCATTGCAAATTTACCATGAAGACATTTATTGCTATATGTGTTGTATTATTGCAACAATAATTATGCAGCAAAATGGTTGTATAATTGTGACGTTTTGGTGCAACTATAAATTGTCATAAAGAAAAGCTACGTAAAATATAAAAAAATATTGTTGCATATTTTATGACGATGATGGAATAAAAAAATGTTGCAAAAATTTCACTACAATTTATATTCGTCGCATTTTTACGACAAATATATATGCATAATTTCATTGCATATTTTTAAGATTGCAATTCTTTTTGCAACATTAATTATAGAAACTATATTATGTTTTTTCAGCACATAAATGATTAATTTATAAATATTTATTTAATATATAATCTAATAATAATAATAGAAATAACTTATTTTATTAAATAATCAAATAATTATTCCAGCAATGCATAAATTTAAAACCAGTAGAAAACCAACGATTCTTAAAAACTAAAATCCATGAAAAAAACTTAATAAGCATAAATAAAACAACTACCATCTCCTCAGAAAAAGCGTGTTTATTCTCACACTTATATAAGGCATGTCCTTTAGCAACAATCATGAACTCTTTCAATCCATGTAGGAATGCATCGGAGACTAGATTAGTTGTTGGATCAGTTCTTGCATACATCCATTGCCTCGAAACATTATCGTTGTTACTTGAAGACATTTAAGAAGTCAAGAAATTCTGCAAACACAAAATATAATTAAATGAAAACACAAACCTTAAAAGTTATATATAAACGTAAAGTTAGGACGTGGTTAGATATTTCAAGCAAAGCATCTCTACATCAAATATTAGGAATATAAAACAATCTACGAAACATGTTATCATTGTACGTATATGTAGATGTTGGATATGACTTGAATATGATTGGGCCCATTACTTTAGGCCCAGTCCGTTTAGGTTAATTAGGGTTTATTCCTAGACTATTCCCTATAAGTATTCTCCTTAACCTAGCCTCCTATTGTATTCTGAATTCTCTGTTGTTTCTCCAGTAATAAAGTCTCTCTTTGCCCGTGGACGTAGCCAACAACAAGTGTTGGTGAACCACGTTAAATCTGTGTTGTGTTCTTCGTTTATACTATCTTACTCACATCAGTTATAACAAACTGGTATCAGAGCACAAGGGTTTTTTCTTTCTGTATTGTTCGTGCGAATTTCGTGCAATTTCTGATTCGTGCAAATTTCGGGCAGTTTTCAGATTCGTGCAAAGTTCGTGTCAGAGCACAAGTGTTCTTCGTTCAGCGTTCGTGCGATTTTTCAAGTCGAATCAGTTTTCGTGCAAATCTAGGGCAGAAACAGATTCGTGCAAAATCAGTGCAGAAGAAGATTAGTGCAGATTAAGGTTCTGGGAATTCCGCTGTTGAAAATTTGGTGAGAAGATGTCTGCGATCAACGTGAAGATCGATAAGTTTTCTGGGAAAAACAGTTTTAGTCTGTGGCAGATTAAGATGCAAGCTCTGTTAAAGCAACAGGGATTATGGGCACCCTTATCGAAAGACAGCAAGAGAAAGGTTGATGATGTTGAGATGGCTATCATGGATGAGAAGGCACATTCCACAATCATGTTGTGCCTTGAAGATGAAGTCATTGTTGAAGTTTCAGGTGAAACTACTGCTGCTAAGTTATGGAAAAGATTAGAATGTTTGTATATGACAAAGTCTGTACAGCACAAGCTGCTGCTTAGACGTCGTTTCTTTGCATTGAGGATGCAAGAAGGTACGCCACTCAAAGATCATTTAGATGAGTTGAACTCAATATTACTAGACCTGTGTAATAGTGATGTTAAGGTTGAAGATGAAGATGCTGCGTTGCTTTTATTGGTATCTTTACCACTATCATATGATAACTTTGTGGAGTCATTCATAGTGAATAAAGTTACAATTACTTTGGAACAAGTCAGATCAGCTCTTCACAACAGAGTGTTGCGTCATCAGACGACTGGTACAGCTACAGATAATCAAGCTTCAGGGTTAGTAGCAAATGGCAGCAATAGTGTAGGATACAGTAAGAAGAACAGAAACAGTAGGTCGCTTTCTAAGGGTCCTAAACCAGGTGATATCTGTAATTACTGTAAGGAGAAAGGGCACTGGAAGTTCGATTGTCCTAAGTTGAAGAAATCTGGATCTGCTGCTGTAGCAGAATCTGGGTCTGCTGCTGTAGCAGAACAAGACACCAAGTCAGAAGATGAATTTGCTCTAGTTACTGATGGAAAGAATCATGACTCTGATGTGTGGATTATGGATACTGGAGCGTCATATCATATGTGTCCAAGAAGAGAGTTGTTCTCAACATATACACAGGTAGAAAATAGTTGCATCAAGATGGCTAACAGCTCTACCAGTAAGGTTGTTGGGATAGGCTCAATAAAGATCAGGACTCATGATGGTAGATTCTGTACACTGAACGATGTCAGACATGTCCCGTCAATGGAAAAGAATTTGATATCTTTGAGTCTGCTTGATAGTAGAGGTCTGAAATATTCAGGTGGAGACGGAGTTTTAAAAGTTTATCAAGGTTCTGATGTTATTCTGAAGGGTGTCATACGTGGTACTCTGTACGTCTTACAAGGCCACACAGCTACAAGTTCAGTGAATGTTGCATCTGCAGAAATTCAGAAGGAGGATATGACTAAGTTATGGCATATGAGACTTGGTCATATGAGTGAGAGAGGGATGCAAATTTTATCAAAGGAAGATCTTCTATGTGGCCATGAGGTCAAGAGCCTTGAGTTTTGTGAACATTGTGTGTTTGGGAAGCTTCATCGTCGTAAGTTCACTACAGCTGTTCATATAACTAAAGGCACGTTAGATTATATTCACTCTGATTGTTGGGGTCCAGCTCGTGTTGAATCTTTAGGAGGTCACAGATATTTTGTTTCAATGATTGATGACTACTCCAGGAAGACGTGGGTGATCATGCTACAGAACAAAAGTGAAGCTTTTAAGAACTTTAGAGAATGGAAAACGTTGGTAGAAAATCAAACAGGAAAGAAGATCAAGCGGCTGCGGACAGACAATGGTCTGGAGTTTTGTTCATCAGAGTTCAATCAGTTGTGTGAGGACGAAGGGGTTGCTCGACATCATACAGTGAGACATACACCACAGCAGAATGGTGTAGCTGAACGGATGAATCAGACTTTGTTGGAGAGAGCAAGGTGTATGCTTTCTAATGCTGGTTTGGAGAAGAGGTTTTGGGCTGAAGCTGTAAATACAGCATGTTACTTGATCAATCGTGGACCTCACACAGGTATCAAATGCAAGACACCTACAGAGATGTGGTCGGGTAAAGCTGCTGATTACTCTACTCTTAAGGTTTTTGGTTGTACAGCTTATTATCATGTCAGTGAAGGTAAATTAGAGCCAAGGGCAAGGAAGGGAGTATTTATGGGTTATGGAGATGGAGTTAAGGGATATAGGATTTGGTCTCCATCAGAGAATAGAGTTATTTTGAGCAGAAATGTTGTTTTTGATGAAATCTCTATGCTTCGATATTCGACAAAGCCTACAGTTGCAGCAGAAAATGGTAGTTTTGACAAACAGGTGGATCTGCAAGATGAGCAGAGAGCTGATCTACATCAGCACACAGAGAGTCAAGCACATCCGGCAGAATCTGACTTGGAAGACTCTACAACGTCAGAAACCATACCATACAGCATCGCCTTACATCGAACAAAGAGGAGTGGAGTAGGACCACCTCAAAGATACATATATGAGGATACATCAGGGTATTGTCTTGAAGAAATGGTTGGGTACGCCTTACAGGTGGCTGAAGAGATGGGTACTCATGAACCATCTACCTATAAAGAGGCTGTTTCAGGAGCTGAGGCTGAAAAATGGTTTGCTGCAATGGGAGATGAGATGGAATCTCATAGTAAGAATCAAACATGGGATCTAGTCACACAACCACCTGGTAGAAAAATTGTTACGTGCAAGTGGATCTTCAAGATAAAGGAAGGGATATCACCAGTTGAGGGAGTTAAGTATAAGGCTCGAGTTGTTGCAAGAGGGTTCAGTCAGAGAGAGGGGGTGGACTACAATGAGATATTTTCACCTATTGTCAGACATACTTCCATCAGAGCGTTGCTAGCGATAGTGGCTCAGCAGGATTTGGAACTTGAACAGCTTGATGTTAAAACAGCTTTCCTTCATGGAGAGTTAGAAGAAGAAATATATATGACTCAAACTGATGGTTTCCAAGTTCCTGGAAAAGAAGATCACGTCTGCAAGTTGAACAAGTCTCTGTATGGACTTAAGCAGTCCCCAAGACAGTGGTACAAGAGGTTTGACAGTTATATGATG